TGCCCTCCAAATGTTAAGCCCATTGGATGTAAATGGGTTTATTTGGTCAAGCTTCATTCTGATGGAACTTTGGATTGATATAAAGCTTGATTGGTTGCTCTTGGCAATAAGCAAAAATACGGAGTGGACTATGAGGAGACCTTTCCTCTAGTTGCAAAAATGACTACTGTCCGTACCATTATCGCAGTTACTGCTTCTCAGGGTTGGCCTCTTCATCAAATGGATGTCAAAAATGCTTTTCTTCATGGTGATCTTAAAGAAGATAATTATATGACACTTCCACTGGGTTTGACTTCCTCATCTTCCACACATGTGTAAGTTAAAAAGGTCTTTGTATGGACTAAAACAAGCTCCACGTGCCTGGTTTGACAAGTTTTGTTCTACCTTACTTCAGTTCTCATTTGTGAAATGTAACGCCCCATTTTTCTGTGTCTGAAATAGTAAGCTATCGGTCTATGAATAGTGCCATCGGTCCGGGAATAAGTATTATTTTGGTCCGAAAAAATTACTATTTATGTGTCATATTTTATTTAATATTTTTGGAGTATGCATACATGATTTACTATTTAATGGTGTCATATTTATGTTAATATTTTTGGGAAGTATGCAATGACATGATCTTTTAATGGGTAGAAAGTAAGTAACAGATATATGTTTTGGGAGAATTTAAGCTTAATTAGCTGTTAATAGTGACTTATGGTGTTATATTCAAATATAAAAGAAAAAATTAGAGGCAATATTTTTTAAGGATTAAATTTGGAGAATTCTTGTGGAGATTAAATATAATATTTTTGAAGGAAATTAATTGGAGAATGAATTTTTTTAGCCCATTGGATGAGAATTACTAATGACTTAATCTTAAGCCATCCAATGTTGAAGAAAGAGACTAAAATATCCTATTATTGCTCAATTATCTTGAGCAACCATTTTTCTCCTCTTCTTTCTCTTTTCAACGTGAATGTCTCTTTCTTATTCTCTTCTCTTCCCTTGGCCCACGACCCTATTTTCTTCCTTGCTTCATTCCCTTCCTTATTGTTTTCAATTCTCACAGAAATCACTCCTAACTAGACCTATATGAACTCATCCAAGACTTCCTCTTGGAAGAATTCAAGGTTATTCATTGTATTTGGAAGCTTAAGGATTTTGGGAAGAAATTTTTTTGAATTTTAAGCTGAAAGTTCAAGTAAGTAGATTTATTGTGATTTTTGAAGGTTGGTGGATTTTATGTAAGAAATTAATTAGTGGAATTTTTGGATATCTTTTCATTCTTTGATATAGCAATTTTTCTAAATGCCTTTTTGGTTTGGATTCTTGAGTTTATTTGAAGGATTTCTTTTTATTAGGATTTTCTTTTGTTAGTACAAGGTGAACTATCTAAGTTGGAGAAACTCAAGACTAAAGTTTGATTTGATGATTTTTGGGTGTTCCAAGCTTGATTTTAATGTAAGTGTTCAAAAACACTCTTACCTTGTTTAAATTTTTGATTTTGTGAAGTTTATACTAACTTGTGAAAATTGGAAATTTTATATGAAATGAGTTGATTATTGAACTTTGGTGGTATAAATGTGTTCTTAGGAGATTTCTAAGCATGCCCATATAGTGAATTGATGAGGAAAATATTTTCTTCTTCATTTTCCAAGAGTGGCAGAACCTATTGATAAATAAGGCCTTAAGTTTTCTTGTTATTCTTTGTTGGTTTATGCTCTTAAGATTATATTTGATGAGCCTCTTAAAGATGATTTATGCTCTTAAGATGATGTTTGATGAGTATTTAGTATGTGGTAGAAATCTCTACCTTGTATATGATTTAAGTAAGCTGAAATTGGGAAAAAAATGTTATTGGGTGTGATTAAGGATGATTTTTCGATCCTTTTTATTTTCCATTGATGTCTGAGTCCTTCATCAAAGTTGTAGATCTATGTCGTAGCTTTCCAACCCATCCTCTTGTGTCCAATTTGGATATATATAGCTCAACTTATGGCTGAAACACCCAAACTGACTCTGTTATGACAGGCCACATGCATCACTGAATTGAGTGCCCATTTTGACCACTATAATGGCACGATTATGTTCTGAGTTCTTCATGAGAGTTGTTTCACTATGAATGGCACGAATATATGTTCTGAGTGTCTTCGATGAAGTTGGTTGCGATGTGCTGGTCCTTTGAGATCTTCACTGTTTTTAGATTGATCTTAATTTGAGTAGTTTTTGGTTAAGGAGGAATTCATAAATCCATTGGACTTGTGTTCTGCTGAAGGTCAGCTGGACTTGTTGGTCTGTGTTCCTAGCTTTTGTTTGCTTTATCTGGTCTGGACTGTTGGTCTGTGTTCCTAGCTTTTGTTTGCTATCTTACAGATTGATTTGGGCTGTAGTCCCTTCATAACATTTGTCGAATTTTGTCGTATCTTTCTAATGAATCTAATTTCATTTAATGTGGAGCCCTATAACTCAAGTTATGTCTTAAAAACATAGCAAAGGTCAAGTTTATTTTCATGCTGGAAATTTTCTATGTCTTGAATCATAGGTTTATTTGGATAAAAGTATATATGAATCAGGTGTGAGGAAGTTTCTCTTAATTATCTGTATGTTTTAGGATTTATTTGACAAAAATAAGACAAGTTTGAAAAGCTTTATTGTGGATATGTTTAAATGGATATAAATGCAAAAAACTTGTTGGAAATTTCAGGAAAAAGTGTGGAATTGGTTTAGATAATGCATGATGAGGGTTGAACTAGATACTTTGGTGCATAAGAGTTATGTTAGCATGCTTGATTGGAGAAGGAAATTCCTTCCTTGGTTTTCATTAAGAGGTCAAACCACCTTAGGGTAGTAAGGCTTACTTAATATGTTATATATATGACATAAGTATAATTATTTTGATAACTTAATTATTTTGATAACTATGCATTGTTTTTAGGAGTTTTTTAAAAAAAATTGGATTATTTAAAGTGTATGTTCTTTGAATTTTTTGATAAGGAAAGTATGAATTTTTATGATGAATAAGGAAATATTTCTTATTTGAAAATTTCATCATGGACTCTAAGAAAGTTTTAAAAGAAAAAGAAGTTTGATGGGATAATAATTTCCTATATTAAGTAATTATTATGTTTAAGTATGAAAAGTTGTTTATAAGATGTCACTTAAAGTTCTAAAGGTAAGCTTACAATGTAATTGATTTTCTCCTGAATAAGAAATTTCAGTATTATAAAGTTAATTTTTTTTAAGTAATGAAATTTTTCATGAGGTTACTTACGGTTCTAAAAGTAATGCTTTACATTTTATATTTAAAAGATTGAAAGAATAATGAACAAGTTTTTATGAGAAGTATAGAAACTAAAGCAATTAGGGAGTTTTGGGCTCTTACTTGTGTGTGGTTTTGATTTTATTATGTATGATGAGCATGCTCGTCATTTGATGCCATTATGATAAGAAGCTATGATCATATGCTAGGCACGTGGGTGTTTTATGTTAAGGCGGATGGACTCTATATGTTATGAAAAGGTTGGCGACCTAAGGCCATTATAAATAATTTATGAAAACCTATCTGCTTCTCTTTCTCCTAAGTGTATGTGAGCCCTTGGAAAATATTTGTAAGGCAATTAAACGAATGAAATCATATTATTTTAGTAAACTTTACTTTGAAAATTAATGATTATGTTATCCAATGAATTTTCAAAGCATGATATTTCGGTACATGGTTTTAAAAATAAATAGTATATGTATTGGGATAATAAATGTTCAAGTAATGAATTTATTTCGTAATGGACAATTCTATAATCTGAAAGAATTTAAATTATTTATGTTCTTAATCATGAAGTTTATTTGGATATTCTAATATAAGAACTAAAGCGTAATTTATTGGTGATTAAAAATATTTAAGGTAAAGGCATTTATGGTATTAGAAAGAATTAAATTTATTTATGTTATTAAATTAATGAGTTTATTTGATATTTTCTTTTTGCTATATAATGTAATATCTATATTGAAAATTTAATGATTTTTATGATCTAGTAAATTGGATTTTATGAAGACATTTGTGGTTTAAAGTAACATTGCATTGCAACTTTGGTACAGTATGTGAATTATGAAGCAACACACTTGAGTCTTTTTATACTCACGCGTCCCACTGAGTTTTATACTCAGCGCGTCGATTTTTATTACGCGTAGGTTGAAGATCGTGGTTGCTACTTGAAGATTAGAAGAGTAGTATCAAAGCAAAAGTGACTAATTTGGTAGTAGTAGATTGAGATTTATGTAATTAAGAATTATGGCATGTATAATTATTATATTTTCGGAGAGTATGTTATTTGAATTATAACTTAACCATGTAATTATAAATTATTTTGGTGTATATACTTGGAGATAAGCATAAGATTTATTAAATGATTGAATATGAAATATTTTAAGACGGTATGATTAGTTCATTAAGACTTCATATATATAATGAATGCAATTAATTAACTGCTATTGAGGATTTATACAGTTATAAAAATATGAAAGTGTTGTTGTGTTATGATGATTATTTGGAGATGTTGGAAGTTTGGAGTTTAATTGGGAGTGTTTTGTATTCACATGTTTGGGGAGCTCAGTGTTTTTGTATTCACATGTTTGGCGGAGCTCAGTTTTTTTTAAAGGGAATAGTTCTTACAGTATTTCTATAGTTGTGTTTCCCAATCTATATAAAAAAAAAAAGATAAAAAATGAAATGAACATCAACTATTAATAAAAAAAAATTACTACGCTAAACTTTGTGAAGTACTCAAATCTTCCTTCTAAATTCTATAATGTTCTAGTTTTATGATTTATAATGTTAAGTTAAGAACGGTGCCGTCCAGCACCAGGAAATTATAAAAAAAATTACTCGCTAAACTTGTGAATACTCAATTTCTTCTAATTCATAATTTTAGTTTTATGATTTATATGTTAAGTTAAGACGGTGCCTCCAGCACCGAATGTAGCATCCGCTGTCCGATCTCTTGGAGCTGAGCGGAGGGTGTTAAATGAAAAGTAAATATGACTCCTCTTTGTTCCTTCACAAGAGTTATGCTGGTTTTGTTCTACTTCTTGTTTATATAGATGACATTATTATCACTAGCACTAATACATCAACGATCCTCAATCTCCAACAATCTCTTCAAACTTCTTTTAATATGAAGGATTTTGGTCCACTTACATATTTCTTAGGGCTAGAAGTTCACTATGATTGTTCTGGGATATTTTTGCATCAACACAACTATACTACAGATTTGATTACTTCAGCAGGCCTTCAAGATTCATCCCCAGTTGATACTCCTTTGGAATTAAACGTCAAGTATCATAGTCAAGATAGAGATCTTCTTCTGATCCATCTCTTTATCGGTAATTAGTTGGCAGTTTGAATTATCTAACTATTATAAGGCCCGATATTTCTTTTGCAGTTCAGCAAGTCAGTCAAGTCATGAGTACTCCGCATCACTTACATCTGGTGTCAATTCGTTGAATCATTCGGTATCTTCTTGGCACATCTTCTCGGGGTTTATTCTTTCCTACTGGCTCTCCAGTACGTATTATTGCTTACAGTGATGCTGATTGGGCCGGTTGTCCAAACACTCGACGCTCTATAACTGGTTCGTGTATGTTTCTTGGCAATTCTTTGATATCTTGGAAAAGTAAGAAACAAGACTGTGTTTCAAAATCTTCTACTGAGTCCGAATATTGGGCTATGTCCGCTGCTTGCTCAGAGATTGTTTGGTTATGTGGGTTACTTGCTAAAATTGGATTTCCTCAGCCTCATTCTACTCCTCTGCATGCTGACAACACTAGTGCCATTCAAATTGCTACAAATCCAGTTTTTATGAACATAGTAAACATATCGAAGTCGACTGTCATTCTATTTGAGAGGTTGTAGATACAAGTGTCATTTCTCTTCCACATATCTCCACTACTCTTCAAATTGCTGATGTGTTCACAAAATCTATGACAAGACAGCGTCATCAATTTCTCGTAGGCAAATTGATGCTTCTTGATCGCTCAACATCAATTTGAGGGGGGATGTTAGTATACTATTATAATTAATTGACTATAGTAGCTGTAAATGACCATCAATTAGGGAGCTAATTAAGGCTGACTATACTGTTGTAAGATAGCTGTAAATGACCATCAATTAGGGAGCTAATTAAGGCTAAGCTAAATTAAGGCTGACTATACTCGTTGTAAGAATAGCTTGTTAAATGACGCAAATTGTAGCTGTAAATGACCATCAATTAGGGAGCTAATTAAGGCTGTAATTGTTAGCCATAATTAGGAGTCAATGGGCATCAATTAGGGAGGTAATTTAGAAATTTATTCCCAAATTTGTGAGATACTTCAGCCTATTTAAACCCAATTAGCTTGAAGGAATGGCAAGCAAATACTATTGAAATGCTATTGAAATTCTATTATATTGAAATTCAGCAAGTTTTTCATAGCAGGTCCCATATGCTTACATTCGCATGTGTTCTTTTTAACTGTTTTATCAGTGTGTCATCTTCAGATTCTTTCTTCTGCACAACCGATGGGCTAGCTTTCTCATTTTTCTCTCTTGGCTTTACCATATCAGGTTGGTACACTCAACCACCGCGGGTCATATGGTTCACGATTTTTGCTTCTTCCTCTTCCTCACTACTCCAAACGTCAAAAGTAACGAGATTCACTATCATCTCATCCTCACTTCCTACCCAAACTTCCTTGTTCTAATTAAGCCATTCTTCGTCACTATCATCCTATACATTCAAAACCATCATATAGATTTGTTTCAAAAACAATTCTCTCTCTCTCTCTCTCTCTCTCTCTCTCTTTCTCCTCCTCTTTGGATTCAACTATCACCTCCTTGGGAGTCTTTCTAGACTCAACCATATACTCTCTCTCTTTCCTCCTTCCTCTTGGGATTAATTCTCTCTCTCTCTCTCTCTCTCTCTCTCTCTTTCTCCTCCTCTTTGGATTCAACTATCACCTCCTTGGGAGTCTTTCTAGACTCAACCATATAAAGATTTTTAGGAGGCAGCACATTGTGAAAATTCGGCAGTGGGTTAGTCCTCGTGCTTGGCCTTAATTTTTCTGGGTTAGTTACCTTGCCTTCATCAATCGAATTCTGGATCTCATGTCTCAAATGAAGGCATTCGCTGGTAGTTTGACCATTTCCTTAGTGAAAATGACAATATGCGTTGCGATCAAAGCCCTTTGGCAAAGGTACCGGAGGAGGTCTTAGTGTGAGCGGTCGCAATAAACCCGCTAACTTCACCTTTTCAAATACTTTAGAAAGAGGAGTTTTGAAGTTGGAGAATCTTCTTTTTGGCACATTGGTGGCTCTCTAAGGTGGCAATTGTTGTGTTCTTGTTGGCATTCGGGGTCTTTCCAGACGAACTAGACCCTTGAAAATCAGATCTATTGAAATTCCCGAAAAGGTTCCCGTATTTCCTGTCTTCTCTAATTTTATCTTCTATGGTCTAGAAATACATATTTGAAAATTTCACCTGAAAAATTATGGATTCCCGTATTCCTGTCCTTCTCTAATTTTATCTTCTATGGTCGTTCCCAACCCTCATTACACTTTGTTGAGGCACTTCAAAATTAAGGGCATGTAACACATTTGTCGTCTGGAAAAAGCTGGCAGGTCCCCTTAATAAAGATATTGATTACTTGCTCCTTTGTTGTCAGGCGATGGGTTTTTCTCATTTGCGTGCCTTGGCTCTCCACCTAGCAATATAATCGGTAAAGGTCTCGTTCATTTTTCTGCATAGTTAGCTTCCAAATCCCCTCAAGTTACACTTATCTGAAGGTTGTAAGCATGCTCTTTTAAGAAAACCGTGGTGAGCTCATTCCAATTCTCCTTTCTCACTTTTCATTTCTAAGTTATAATAATCAAGTACCTCATGGCCAAGACCACGGTCAAGGATATGGGAAACATCTTTAGAGAGTTTCCCTTTTGATGGGCAGAATCCCACTAACTCCATTACTGCTTATATTACTGCATGGATATTGCACCTTACGGATCAGCCTGTGCCATTCAGTATTTTGCCACCTTTGGGCATTCTTTGTAGGTTCAAAAAAGCGAGTGTATGTTTTTCAACTCAAGTCTCCTATCATGAATCATCATCGATTTCTTACATATTGATCTCGATCCCTTTGGATTTCTATGAAGATGTGGGAGCCTTTCCTAGTTTATTTGTCTAATTTTCTCAAAACTTTTTCGGACAAACCCTGGCTCGGCTTTGGCCTTTCTTGCAAAGGCATTTTCTCGGTGGTGAAAATTCTTCATCCTTGCCGAGGTGTTCATCTAGCTTGTTCTTCTATCTGTTCAGATTCGGCCCTTGGCCTCATCATCTTCTATTTCATCTACTTTATGCTCCTTACCTCATCCGAGCATAAGAAGCTTTTTTTAGGGCTAGTGCCACTATCTCCTCTACAGACTACCTCCTTCTATTATTTCAGAGGACTCAGGAATATCTAGACATGCATCACCCATTTATTGATAACAAAAATAGGAGTTGAAACTGATAGATTCAGCTTTGAATATGGGAAGTTCTCAAGTTCTCATTGCGAAAAGCCATTAAAGAAACTATGGGCTACGGTATCGAATCAGGGCAAGTCGAAAGGGTTTGAAGGTTCTTCAACTCAACCTAGCTCGATTTTCTACTCTTAACCCAATTAATTCTCTTATGGAGTTTTTTCCCTTTGAGGTACTATGCTTAAACATGCATAAATTAATTTAAAATTTAGCAAACTACACGATATGATGCATGCATGCTCGCATGCTTATGTTCTCAATATAATATTGGCATACAAAAATGCAATCACACAATACAAAAATTCACATCTGCCGGGGATTGGCCAGACACTAAATTGTTCATTATTCCATCATGGCTTTAATCATGACTGCTATGCGACGACCAAAATCATAGAAGTGATGTGGGCGTTCTTGAGAACTTCACAAAGATAATTTCAAACATGCCTCTATTTTCCCAATCCAAAATACTATTATAATGACCTTTTTTTGTCTTATCTTTTTTTTGTTATCCATTTCTTTCTTTCTCTCTGCCCTTCCAAGCGTCCAGATACTCACTTGAGGCACAGGTGTTTTATTTATTTATATAACAATAGAGATTTTTTTTTTGTGTCTTTTTGGCATTAACCAATATTTGGCTCAAACTAGTCTCACGGTTTTTCATTACTTCTAAAAGTTAACTTTTTACATTGATTAGTTCTTTTGGCCCTAACTACATATTTACAACTTTTGCAAAAATTGATACCCTAGGAGGTTTGATATGGTTTAGTCATCCTCTAGTGTGAAGTTCTAACAGGGATGGCCGATTATTGCCGCATAAGCGTGAATCGCGCCTCCACACTTAGGAAGAGAGTCATAGCTTCAAGTTTGACGCTCTGCATTTTATTTAAAGCAAAAGTTGATGAGCCTCTTCTAATCTGTCTTCTTTTAGATAGTGTCGCACAACCGGAGGAGCTTCCCTCTTAGGATTTCTGGCTTCAACCTTATAGTCACCATGGAAAGAGGATTGTTCTAGCTTTGCCTTCTAGCACGTTTCTCTCGTCCAGTCCCTTCGCCATTCGGCGATCGAACGTTACTGGGGATCGAGCCTAATAGAATTACCTACTATGGAGATTTGAATTAATAAACAATTATATAAGTGATAAATAGAGAAGTAAAAACATAATCATCAATCATAGCAATAATATACCAAAGAAAGGGGAAGGAAGTTTGGGATAATGCATTTAGATCTTCTACTTCTTATATCTTCACACATGCATTCATCGGTTTATAAAGTCAATCTAAACCATAAGGACATATTTGGTTTAGGCCTATAAACCATTCATGAATGTTTTTGGACCGACGCCTCTCCATTTAGTGTATGAATGAAATGACACAACATTAGATATTAAAAAGTGACCCAAAAGCGAAGAACTAGGGTCAATTACATTGAGCTTTAGTCGGGTTTATTAAAGTCTTGGGTTCCAATAGGCACGAGAATTGGTGTCTTCTCTCATTTGGTTTGGGTATAAACAAAATAGTAATGGTGGGAATTGTGCCAATTCTTTTGATATACCAAACTGGTTACTGACATATAATGGGGTGGCTTGTATATCAGTGCGCGGATACATTATTAGTCGAATTAGAGTGTATAAGGATCACCACAACCCTAATATCACTTTTAGTGTTTAGGGTAGAAAAGAGCATTAAGAATAGATAAATGCATGGAATGACATTTATAAATACTCAAAAAGTAAACTCAATTTAAAGTTAATAGCATTATTAAAGATGTGAACAAAGTGGACAACTTTTGAAGTAACTCTCTACTTGACCCAAAACCCGGAATAACCAGAGATTCTGATATTCGATTTCCAATGGGAGTTCACCAGTCTTAGGACGCAAGATATTTTTCCAAAAAATAAGGAAAGCGGAATCGACTCGAACAAGCTTGCGTTAACCAATTTTATTTAATAAATCGGTCATGTTCTTATTTATACCCATTCATTAATTTGACAGTGGGCTTGGTTTCATTTTCAGTTTCAATTGTTAATTTTATGCCGAGGAATCGCCTAATGAAGACACACTATGGTTCCTGAAATAAAAAATAAATTCAATAAGTTAGAAAAAACGAATTCGCTCTCTCTCAATGCAAACTGCAGAAATTATATAATCAACAATATTATAGAACTTAGCATTAAATATACATATCACCAATTCAAAATTAATTCTTAGCTAACAGCTGCAATATATAGCACCAAAGATAAAAATGAAATTATATTCCAAAATATAAGACAAGTATTCAAATCTTACATTTTTGTCCTTTTTAGGTAATTACGGCTCCAGTATCATTTGCTTGGGTAGTAAGGTTCCTCAAGTTCCTTTACTGT